AGTTCCTGTACATCTAAGTGCTATCTAACCTAACCATGATCTTTCTGTCTGTACATCTATCAAGCTGTTACATATTTCAGAATATGTCACCTAACTATAGGGCTCCAGAGGGTCTTCTTGCTAACTAACTATCCACATTTAGTCTTTTGTTAACAGAGCTCACCCTTGCAGAATTTACACAGACTCCAGCACCAACTTCATGACATATTCCTAGTACTTATAGTATATTTCTGTTTCTGATCTCAGACTCCCAATCTAGATAGTCTGATAGAACTATAACTGTCTCTGATATCCCAAGGTCTGCCTCCTAAGGTCCTTTTTTTTCAGTTCAAAACTTCTGATGGCCTAGTTGGTGGTACCTCTCATTCAAGATTCTTGCTTGCCCGATTCCTTTTACATTGGTATTCATTTTCTAGGTCTAGTCTTTACAGTAGTACTGTTAAAGATTTGTGTTATCTCTCTACTTGGATCTTTCCAAGTGGGCTTCAGTTTCCTAGTTCACAGATTTACACAGCTATAAGAACTTATCTTGGGTTTGCATTGCTCAATGCCAGTTTGCATTTTTCTGTATAACTTCAACATTGCACAGATGCCCTATGATTTGCCAGTTATCTGATATGACTATGTTACAGGTACTGATCCCAACTGATCAACAGAATGTTGTTGCTATAATACTGCTTACCTCCCATAATACCAATATAATATAAGTGGTTTTTCTAATTTTCACTATTGGTAGGTTTTGAACTTTCAATCTACCACTTGGAAGGTTGACAACTTAACCACTTCACTATGTCACCACACCTCTTCTTTGTAGTAATTTTAAACTACTTTCAGTGTTAATATTAAAAGATTTAATGTACTATACTGTAATGTTGTTTATAATTTTTATTGAATAAGTACAGTATTCATTTACATTCTATATAATGAAAAGGTTGTACTGTACAGATATATACTATAGTACTTCTATATGTATAGTACTCTATAGTCTGGCATATAATACTCTAGGTTTTTTTTAAAAAAGCTAACCTAGATTAAATTATATTTCAAATATTGGAAAATAGGAAGATAATAGTCTAATTTTTATAATTATAGTATATTTTTTCATTGGGTACTATATATAGCACTGTATGATATATAAAATTAACTAATTTTAAACTTTAAATTCAAGCTTTAATATAAATATAGAAAATTGTAACACTAATTTTAATTTTAATTTTATTTGCTATGTCTAATCAACTTTTTATTAAAAAAGAACATGTACTGCAATTAGTGATAGTTTGAAATATGAAATTTGTAAATATCATTTAAAGTATTCTACTTATATACAATCACAAATTGCTTTATATTTTAATACTTAAGATTCAAAAAAAAAACTTGATTGTTTTACTATTTCTAAAATATTAAAAGACAAAGATCAATAATTAGCTAAAACAGAAGCAAAAATTTTTGATACAGTTTTTAAACATAAAAAAACAAAATTTCTACAATTAGACTGTGTTATGCAATTATGAGTTGAAAGCATTATTCATGAAAGATTGTTTTTAACTAAAGCAATAATTAAAGAAAAAGCTATCTATTTTGCTTATGCTCTTTTATTATCTGAAAATGCATTAAAATTTTTTAATAGTTGGATTGACAAATTTAAAAAATGAAATTACTTGCAAAATTTTCAATTACATGATGAAGCAGAAAGTGCACCAATTAAATTACTTCCAAAATTTTGACAAGAATTACAAGAAATTATTCAAAAGTATATATTAGATAATGATACAATGCAGATGAAACTGGCTTATTTTATTGCTTGGCACCACATCAAACATTAGTCTCAAAATTACATTCTGGTTGAAAAAAAGTATGTAAATTTTTTTTTTTAAAAAAAAAAAAACTAAAAAATATAAACTTATAGGACTATACATGTATTACAATATTGTTAGCTTCTAATGCTATTGGAACTGAGAAGCTACAACTATTTGTGATTGAATCTAGTATTAAGCCATAAGCTTTAGTTGATATAAACTATCAAACATTACTTGTTATATACTATTCAAATTAAAATGCTTGGATGCATAGTGATATATTTGGTGAATGATTAAAAACTTTGAATAAAAAATTTTGTCTTGAAAATCAGTACATTTTATTATTAATAGATAGTACTATATATCATTTTGATCCAAATAAAACAACAGTTAATATACCAAGTAATGCATAAGATATGTTTGATAATAAAGAATCTACCAATCAGCAAAATGATATACAAAGCAATAAGAGAGCAAAAAGTAGTCTGGAAAAATGCAACAGAAGCTGCAAGAGTGTATATAAACTTTCAGATCTTTCTAAACTTTGCTTTACCAATATTAGGATCAAATTTCTCTATTCTTATACTATCTTACACTTTCAACCTATAGATGCAAGAATTATTTAGTATTTCAAAACAAAATATAAGCAAAAATATATTTACTATTTATTATATCAATTTGAAAAAGGTGAAAATATTAAAGAGTAAGTAAATTTAAACCATATTAATAAGTTATAGTTATACTTTATTAGTCAGGATAAAATAATATTTGATTAAAAAGTACAAAGAAGAGCAAATACAGAATTGGAACTAAAAAGTGACTAGTTATTTATGCAAATAGTATAAATAGTATATAGACACTATTAAGAATAAACAAAAAAGACATTGAGCAGCTAATTTTCAGGAGCAACATAATCTTGAATTTTAATATAAAAGTAGTATAGTTACTGCTAAAAATGAAAAAAATTTAAGTAGCATCTGTTAGAGTAGTAATTCTAGTAAGCAAAACATAAAAAGAACGATTGCAAAGCAATTTAAAGTTGGCTGTAGATGGCAACTCTTGTAGACAACATAATCTTTAGTTTTTTACTCCAAAGATATAAACATTTCTTCAAATAAAAAGGGTCATTTAGTGTTAAAAAAAAATAAATAATTACAAACCTGAGGCATAAAAAATTCAGAAAAATTCTGACTTGGTTATCATTATAAATAAAATGAGTTAAGATATTTATTTATTGCAAAGTCTTCAAGTATGAATATGCAAAATAATCTTTGGATTAGTTATTAAAATTGATATTAATTTATTATTAAAATTTGTAGATATATAGAATTTTTGGCTTAAATATATAATGGAGGTTACAAAAAATAAAATAGGGCATCTATTTACTATCAAAAATCTACATGTATGTATGACATGAGATATTTTGGCCAATTATTGTTGCTAATAGAATTGGCATTTAATTATTATTAAATATCAGTAGATATAAATCTTTTGTTGTTATGAATATATCTGTAATTCAAAATAATGAATATAAGGCATTTATTTGTTATTAAAAATCTATAGCATAAATACTTCAGACAATTATAAGTATAATAAAATTGGAGTCAATAAGAGGCATTTATGCATTATTAACAATATACAAATAAGAATATATGGATGAAATGATTCAGTTTTGTTATAGAATTAAATAGGAAAGATAAAAATAAAGCATCCACTTATTATTAAAATCTGCAGATATGAATGGTTTGATAAAATTTTCTGGCTTGGTTATTGATATAAAGATGGAATTAGAGCTAAAAAATAAAAATAAGCATTTATCTATTGCTAAAAATCTACAGATATAGAACATATAGATTAGCTTTGTTATTAATATAAATATAAAGTTAATTATAACAAAGTATTCATTTTATGTAGATATGAATAATATAGATTAAATATTTGGTTTAAAATACAGAATTAAAGTCAATGAAGATGAAAAGTCTGCAAATATAAATAGTATAAACAAAATAATCTGGTTTTATTAATAACAATAATATAGAATTAAAGTCAGAAAGAATAGAAATAAGACATTTACTTATTATCAAAATCTGCAGATATAAATTATTTGATAAAACATTCTGGCTTGGCTATTGATATAAAGATAAAATCAGAGCCAAAGCATTTATCTATTATTAAAAATCTTCAGATATAAATTATACAGATGAAATAATAGTTTTTTATTGATATAATAAAATCAACAAGATAAATTATAATAAAGCATTTATTTCTTTAGATATGAATAATAGAGATGAAATACTTTAGCTTATTTATCAATATGAATATAAAATTAGAGTTAATAAAGATAAAAAATCTGTAAATATGAATAGTATGAACAGAATAATCTGGTTCGTTATCAATATGAGTATAGAATTAGTATCAGAAAGGATGAAATAAGGCATTTAATCATTATTTTAATCTACAAATATAAATAACTTGGCAAAAATTTGGCATAATTATTGATATAAGGATAGAATTGGGGTTAGAAGGATAAAAATAAGCATTTATTTATTATTAAAAATTACAGATATGTTAGTTATTAATATGATACAAAATTAGCAAGACAAATTATAATTAAGTTATTAAAATCTTTAAATATGAAATATCCTGACTTGCTTATTATTATGAATATGGAATTAGAACTGAAAGTATGAAAATAAGAAAATCATTTATTATTAAAAATCTTCAATAAGCATAAATTACTTGGATAGTTATTTCTCTAGAAAATCTTAACTAAAAGGCTGCTATTTCAATTATTTAATAACAAGATTAACTATAGACAACCAAAGTTTACAGATGTTGGAGGCTATTAAACTTGATTGATCATAAAATGCTAACATATCTATAGTTTTAATATAAATTCTTTAAAATATTTAACCCTAATTTTTAAAAAGAAATATTGTAAAAATGCTTTGCAAAAGCATTATTTTTTTTTAATATTATTCTTTATTTAGACAAAAATTAAGTATCAAAGATGCTATTGACTACATATCAAGATTGTAAAATAAAGTAGATGAAACAACAATATTGAATTGTTGAAGAAAAACTGACATTTTGCCATTGATATCTACTAATAAAATTAAAAATGTCAGAAATATATATCAAAAGTCCATTAAACAAGAAGAGAATCAAGTTGATAAATTAGTTTATAATTTTACTATTCAAAATATGGATTCGTTTGTTGAACAAGATTTTAAAAAGTTTCTAGAAATTAATAATAGATATGTATCTACAAATAAGAAGCTTGATAATGAACAAATTGTGGAAATTATTTTGGCCAATCAGAATAAACAAGAACAAGATGATCATGATAATACTGATAAAGAACCAATACAAGTTTCAATTATAGAAGGGTTAAATGGGTTAAAAACATTTATTGTATTTTTTGAATAACAAATGAATGTTGCTAATTTTAATACTAATAATTTAAGAATTTTTTATAGATATTTATATACATTAAAGTTAAAAAATAATAAATCAAAGAAACGGAAGTCAATTAAAGATTTTTTTACAAGTAAAAATTCTTATTATAGTGTTAATAATTATAATAGTAAATAATTATAAGCATATAATAATAAATAATGTTAGTATATAAGATAGTTTATAAATAAAAATTTATAATTTACATGCTAAATACTATTTTTAGTACTATATGTCAAAATCAAATTTTTGTATGTTCTAAATCAATTTGTATTAAAACATTTTTTTTTTTTAAACTTTAGCAGCCTTGCCAATATCCTTTATTAAGAGAATTGCATGTTTGATTATACAAATATTAGCTTAATTTCTAGGTTTGACATCTTCTGGCTACTGTACTAGTGCCCAGAAGTGGCCTGCCACACTAGCATGAGTTGTTACTTATTACTAGAGGGCTATGCAGACTAGCCTTTGAGGCCGTTTTAGTAAGGCCTCCTATTATTATTAATTAGTTTCCATATTGTGTTTTTCTATAAATTTTCTATTTCTTTTTTTTTCTTCTCTTTTTTTTCTTTTGTATACTTTTCTTTTTCTAGTTTTTTATTTCTTGATCTTGCTATCACTTCGTTTACTGCTCTATTTTGTTGTTCTGGAGTTTGGATTTTGTTTTTCTTTCTTCTTATACTGATGCCTTGACTTTTTTCTCATTCGCATATTTTGCTGCATATTTTTTTTTATACTGTTTCATAAAACTCATTCTATATCATATCTACAATGCTTGCTAGAAAGTTTCTTGTTTCTTTTAGTAAGACTAGTATATCTTGTACTCTTTCAACTACTTTTTCTTGCAAAAGATCTTTGATAAGCTTCTTTCATGTTTCAGTTCTTTCCTTTCTTATTTGGTCACAAATTGCTTCTTTTAGTTATATTTGCATAGTGTTTCTTTTTTTGTTCTTTAATAGTTCACTCCATGCCACTGTTATTGCTAGTGTTTCTGCCTTTATCCAAAGGTTCTTGTAAGCTGAACAGACTGCTAAATGATCTTAGTCCTCTTCTTTTTCTTCTTTACACATAATACAGTCTGGTTTTGTATAAAGGTCTAGATGTCTTGTTGCTAGTTCTTTAAATGTTGGAATTCTTTCCTGTATACACTTGAAAAGTCTACTAAGTCTTTTACTTTCTCTAGTTGAGCTGCATCTAACTCCATTTTGGTTCTTAATTTTTTTCTATAGCAGTGCTCCTTTTCTTCTTGTATTAGTTCTAACTTTTTAACTGCTGATGAAAAACTCTAATTTGCATTGTTTTTAATATTAAGAACTTCCTTAACAAAGTCTCGTATTGGGCTTTCTATGACTATATTTTCTCAAAGAAGTGATAAATTTGATCTTGAAACTGGCTCTACTATAATTTTATTTGAATTTAACAAATTTGCTTTTTTTTTTGCTAATTCATCTGCTCTATTATTCTATCTGTTATTGCTATAACTCTTTACTTTTACTAACTCTAATTCTATTTTTTTAATTTTCACTGTATTTTCTATATTCATAATTTTTTTTCATTTTTCTTCTGTTGGTTACAAATTGACTACTATTGGATATACTTGCTATAGTTGCTGTACTGTCCATATATATTTTAATTTGCTTTTACTTGGTACTATAAGAATTACACACCAAATTGCTAACAGTTTAGCTTTGGTTGAGAAAGGTCATCCTTTTGCTCCAATAGCACCTTTGCTAATTGCATATTTTTTTTTACTGTCTACTTGCAACCACTCTGCTCCTATTTGATCTTGGCCTTAATTCTCTTTTTCCTTTTTACTAATGACCTGTCTGTATAAAAGATCAGTTCTTTTTAACTATTATTCTCCTGAATATACTTGTGCTTTTCTATAAGTAAGTTGACGAGTTTGTTACTAATTTTTTGATTTTTGATTATTTCAACATCTATGCTTTTCATTATAATTTCTTTTACATACCTTTCTGTGTCTAGTGCTTTATTCTTCTTTATCTGTGCTGCAACTTCTAACATATCTGTATTAATCTTCAACTGCCAGATATCTTTTTTCTTTACATACTTTGATAAAGAATCTTGAATCTCATATTTTTTGTATTTTTTTTCACAACTTTCAACAGAACTAAGATTATTGTACAAACAACCTTTGCATTTTTCAAGCATAGTTTTTTGATTTTCTGTTTGAAATCTTGTCTTCCAGTGTTCAATTTGGAGTATCTTGGATGTTCTGAATATAATTCTTCTGATTACTAGTTCATCTTCTTTGTGATATAGCTTATTGTTTATAAGAACCTATTCTTTTTGTCTTGCATCATCTGAGAGCTTGCCTACTTGTGCACTTATTCTTCATTTGTTTGGAGCTGTTACTCTAAATTTCTGTTTTACCATTCTACAGCTTGGCTCTTCTATCATCTTCATTTCTAAGTTTTTAAACCAATTGGCTGGTCTGCTTTTGACATTGCTTTTTTTTAATAGACTTAGTTGTTGCCATGTAATCATTTTATCATCATCTTTGTCTACTAGCTAATATATAAAAGCAATTTCTAGTTCTTTTAGTCTATATGCAATGATTAGGATAAATTTTGTTCCTAGTATTTTATGCACTCTTGTACTTTTGTCATCGTAAATTAAAGTTTCATAGTTAAAACTAAAAACTAACTGCAGATCTTTTGCTCTTAGCATCATTAGTCAAGCTAAATTGTTTTTCTACAGTTTAGCACTTGCTTTAGGAATATTATTTTGCCAAGTGCTTTTAGATGCTTCTATTAGATGAAGATTATCTTTTATTCTTATATTGATTACTGACTCTTCTGCACCTGCTGCATTAAGTCAGTGATGTAGACTAGTAATCTGCTTAAGTACTAATTGGTCCTATAATAAGTTAAGATTAACAAGATTACTGTAATACATCATACTATTTCTTACTGATCGTATGATCTCTATTTTTCTTTTTGCTAGCCCAATTATTGGTGTGTGTATGTTCTCTAGTATGTTTTTTGATAATCTTGTTGTTTGTAGCATATAACACAACTTGGGTATAATACACATATTGTTAATATATGCTATTTGGCTGACTGTTAGTTTTTTGTGATCTAATCCCTATATATAAGATCATACTATTTCTTTAGCTCTTGACTTTATTGTTGATTCCTTTAGCTTGCAGTTCAACCAAATTTTTAAAAACCACATTATCTTATTTTCATTTTCTTACTGAATCCATTCTTTGCCAAAAAATATTAATCTTTTTTTCTTTTTCTCTTTGGTGTTCATTGTAATTAACTTGGTCTTTTTTCATTAATTTGAATATCATTTAAGTCAAAAAAGTCTTTTGCTATTTTAATAATTTTTTCTATTTGACTTTTGCTTGACATAACTTATATAGTATCATCTGCAAAAGCTACTACAGCCTGTCTTCACTTTTTCTTTTTTTGTGTTAAAGAGTCTGTACAGCTGTTGAGTAAAGTATACAAAGTATATCCTAACTTTGAGTCATTTTGGATTCTTTCTAGAAGTGGATCATAAAATATTCTTCACACTAATAGTGAAATTACTTCTCCTTGTTCGATTCCATCTTTGATCTCAAAGGCATTTGTTGTTTCTACATCTGTAATAATTCTTGACTGTTGCTTTTTAAAGAGATTTAAAATGAAGATAATTGCTGTTTTAGATATTTTAAGTCTTTTAAGTGCCAGGTCTAATGCTACTAATGATACTGAGTCAAAAGCCTTTTTTATATCTTGCAATACTAGCCAAAGTTCTCTTTTGTTATCTTTTGTATCTTCCATTATTGCATTGATAATATGTAATGGCTCTTCTGTTGATCCTCCTAGCAAGCCTGCGAAATTTGGCTCTTTTAAAATATTTTTTTATAGCATATTTGTACCAACCTTTTAGTAAAAACTTTAGTTGTACACTTGCACAAAGTTTCTAGTAATGCTATTGGTCTTATACTACTTAAGTTATATTGCCAATCAAGATTCTTGGGTATTAGGTATATTTGTGATATTTTTTATTTTTTCAGTATCATTCCTGTCTTGATGCATATTTCTGCAAATTTCCTAAGAATTTCTTGTGTTTGGCTACTAACTGCCTTGATTAATGTGTAAGTAATTTCTGAGATACTGGGTGCTGTATTATTTTTGAGCTCTGATAACATTTCTAGCCATTTTTCTTCTAAAATATCCTGATTCAGTTGGTCATACCAGGCTTCATTGATTTCTTCTTTAGGTTGATATATATTTATCTATTCATTTTTTATTTTCTAGTTTTGGAAATTTCATATTTGGAATTGCTGTTAGAAGTATGATTTGGTCTTTTCCAATACCATGTATGGGTCTGTTATGAGCACTCTACTTAGGTCCTCTAGCTCAATAAGTTTGTTTATTTTAATTTTTTTAATTAGTTTGTCTAGCAGACTCATTAGCATTCTTCTTTGCTTGCTATTGATCATTTGGCATCTTCTTTCAATATTTTGCTCTATTTCTTTTAATTGTTGTTTTTCTAATTCTTCTGATCTTTTTTTGTATAGAATTTTCTACCAACTTTGCAGATCTGTAATTATTTCTTCTGTCCATATTTCTGCAATTGTTTTAATGTTAGTTCTGTGCTGTTTATTTATTTATTTTGCTATACTATTGAAATCATTTATATTTTCTGAAATCAAACCTAGTTTGATGTTTTTTCTTCCTAAGCTTATCTATCTTTCTAATTGTGATAATGGCTTTGTCAACTCTGACTTTTTCATTTTATTGTTCTTTTATTAGCAACTGTATTAAGAATCTTTTTCTTAGATAAAGTTTTTCTTGCTGCTTCCAGTATACTTTTGCTTATAATTTTCCATATTTCATCTAGATTTTCTTCTGACCTGTTTATATATTCTATATTGCTCTTTTTTACTTTTTGCAATGCATTTTTGTTTTTAAGCATTCTGTCTATATTTTTCTCAATCC